GTTAATAGAATCACCTTGACAATTAATTTACTTGTAATGTTTCCAAAAATTCAGGTTTTTTGATAACATTGAAAATGTTAAGAGGCATAATCTGGGTTCTTAAAATAGAAACTTCATTCTTTCCCATATCCTTTGGTCTATAACCAGCTCTTGGGACACAACATCTTTCATTGCCAAGGTACAAATATAGATATTACAGATTTGGAGAAAAATCAATACTTAGAAAATAGAAATACTGAATGCTGAAGACTCCAGTCAATTTCACGTGTGAAGCTGAGGTTTGTTTGTCTTCATTCAGGACACTCATGGACTTCTAAGAAGCTTGGAATGGAATTTTGTTTTGACAAATGTTTGATTCCAAGCTTTTTTTTATAGCTAACTTGTTAAATAGCAAAACCTTGATCGCTGCAGATGCTCCTATATGGTTGCTTGCCATTTACATGCCAAGGACCGATAGTTCAAGTTCTTGATTTTTTTGACTCGATCACTGTATGCTTTCTAGTTTTTTATTTAGACACAGTGTTTGCATATATTTGTACCTCTCACTGTTCTGAGGAAGTGTGACCGACTGATTACTGAGACTGGCAGATGCTTGGGCCCTTCAGTCAGCTTCTTGTTGCTGTACAATCTGGCGTCTCTTCATTTTGCAGAACATGCAGTTGGAATACATGCGTGAAAAGAGGGCAGGCACATCTCGGTGGCTTCCCCCCCTTCAGCTGGCTCGCTTTCAGCAGTCAGTACGACCTCTCATGAAGTTCCAAATCTAAAAACTGTCTACACAGAAATCCACTCTTTGGAGCTGACAAAATTCTTCAATTCAGGGAGGATTACCTCTCTTTAGAATTCTTTTTTCCTGTGTGAGTGTGTGTTGTTTCAGCGAGAGGCTCCCTTCCCACCTCATCACTGGTTTGCTCACTCCCTTCTGCGATGAGTCAATGCTTCCAGAATAGGGGCGCCCGAGCGACTGCGGGAACTATTACTTCCAAATGAGCTCGTGCATCCTAACAGGGAGCGTTCAGACCACACCCCAGGTAAAAGGGAGTCTTTCCTTAATGCTTTCGAGAACTTTTAAAGGCTGTGCACTGTGGTTATTTGCTGCAAGGGGGCGTGAGGGAGAGCTGCCTGGGTGTAGATAAATTTGACTGTGTATCAAAGTGAAATGTTATCTGCAGTTACTGTAAAGGCAGAACTGCTTACTGGGGAACCAAAGAAAATGCTCAGGACTGCCCTTGGCGCAGGGTCAGTGCTAAGACACCCTGTAATGTCTGTTTTCAACAGGAGGCTAGTGGCCATCTGTGAGTGTGGGTGTCAACACCGGGAAAAGAGAACTTTTAGGGAAATAGAAGAAAGGAAGGCATTGCAGCCCGAAACTGAGCGAGGAGCAGCTAGCAGTCACGGCATGGGGGGAAACAATCTCTTAAATTATTTGGCGAAAAGGTGGCAGTCTCAGAACTTCTGAGTGCTTGAAACCATTTAGGGAAAGGTTTTAATCCTCTGAGCTCTAATTTCTATTATTAAAAGTTTCCCAGGGATAGGAACGAAGATGTGGTTTTAAACGGCATTGACCACGGAAAGTGTTAATTGGCATCTAACAAAGGCGATGGTATTACATGCATCTGTTTCTGCTTTGTGCGGAAAATGATTTTTCATCACCATAGCGATTCAATCCTGGGCTCCAATGGAACTTGGCCACAGTATGTGGTAAATAGCAAATCATTATTTTTTTCTTTCCTGAGGAAGGGATTCAGCAGTCTATCGGCTAACACGTGGCTCTTCACCTAAATGTAGCTAGTGTAATTTCAAATCCTTTTCCAACTGAAATTCTGTACAAAAAAATTTTGCACATCCTTGGTAAGATGAGAGGATGCTAGGTAAAGGCAGAGAAAAGAGCCCCATGCTAACACTGTACTGCCAGCTTAAAAGCGGATACCAAACCGTTGCCCTTTTTGTGGATGCTCTTTTGAGGAATGTGTGTGGACAGGAACTTATCCCTCGCTTGTTCTCTAACAGTGCCCTAGGAAGATGAATGAGTCTTTAGTCCTATTAGATTTCCCGTTAGGTTATTCTTGAATCACATGTATTGGTCCAGCTAAAAAAAAAAAAAAATGTTCTTCAACTGGTGAAGAAATTTTATGTAGGACATGGACACGTCTGTGAGAAAATGTAACAGAGTGGAAGGAAATACTTTTGCTTGTTTTTGGTTGCTTTCACTGTCAACATGTGGTTATGTTCAGACATTCCTTTCAGGGTATTGTTGGAAAAGCACAGTTTTCACCCACGCTAATGAAGATCTATCTGCATTTTATAGAGATTCAAGTGGTACTGAATTACACAAATTGTGCAAGGCTTTTTGGAGATTTAGTGAGGACTGGGATTTACCCACATGGGGATGACGGTGTGAGAGAGGATAAGACATGTGAGGGGGATGCATGGGAGTAATTGTGGTAAATGGAGTCATCTGGTAAACACAAACTGATTAACAAAAACAAGCATGGGGAAGCTAATGTTGGAAGGATCAGTAGATTTTCATTCTGTGAGGCCCAAGGAGTGTTGGAGTTGGAAAACTGGAGTGAGTGGTCTAGGAAGAAAAGAAGGGGTAGTCACAGAGTTAAAAAAAAAAAAAAAAAAA